TGTATGAAAGCTTAGATCTGCGTGTGTCTGAAGCGTCGCCTCAAAATGGGATCGCGATTCCTGATTCAGAGGAGAGATCCCCAACCTTTTCTCAATTCCTCTGGTGAGCCAGTCGTGCCATCAGGGGGCCCCTCTTGCCTATCCATATGGGGCGCGGAGGGGGGGGGGTCCCCAAAGATTCGAGCGAAGGTTGTGTGAGGAGGCCCTCCAGGCAGTGTGAGCCACGGCCAGTATGTACTGTGTGGACGTTGAAACTCTGGCGCACCGTGCGTGCGTAGCCAACCGTGCTCATCGGAGGTGGAGGAGGTTGGTAGGGACATATCTAGATATAAAAATGTCATAGCTTCAGCGGCTTCCTGATAAATACGTAGATTTGTTTTTAAGTTGCTTGTGTAAAGGACATTGAGGGTAGCAGCGATTTCCTTGGGAGAGATCCTGAGGGAATGTGTCTCATGGACCCCCCCCCATGCCGGATTAAGCTAGTGCGGGGCCTGTAGCATATGTTATAACGGGGCTCTAAAAATTTATATTAAAACACATTTTTAACTTGCATAAGCAAAGTCGTATTTTTTCATTCGCTATGCAGCCAGATAATACGACAAATCTCTAACCTTAAACACCCAGTCGTTCATAAAAGTTGAAGGCGGTATAGTACTATAGTAATAGAGCAAGTGCAGAATCACTGAACCGGAATTGATAGCTTGAAAGTATTTAGTGCGGGGCCCATAGCTACTACTTGTGTAGCTACTTTTGCGATGATTAATCCGGCACTGCCGCCCCCCTTCCCGAGTCTCCCACGTCTGCAATATCACAACGTGGGCGGACCCTGGTACTCGCTGTTTCGGCATTCTTGTGTCCTGCGGCGTCTGTTACATTTTTTTTGGTGTGGAAATACTTTAAAGCGAGCATTCACTTCGTGAGCAACGCGCATCTCGACAGCGCGGTCGACACGTAACAGGCGAGGTTTTTTTTTTTTGCCACGAGAATTTGTTCAATTTTGGCGACGTTAAAACAAAACGTATTTACGGACAATTCTTCACAGCTTCAATTGGAAATAAATCAAGCCGATTGTGTTTTTTAGAATATATATGTTTTGCACTCGGTAGTAAGTCGACAGTAATTATACGCAGATGTGACCTTGGTGGCCAGAGCACTTCACTTTATCTTCAGCGTGGGGCATGTTGTTGTGTGCTTGGATCTAATTTACAAATGTCAGAAATACACATGCTCATGTCAACGACTTGCAATTATCCACAACAGTGAACGGTCACAGCGGGAGTTTGTAAAGCATTGCAGAAGTATTCTACTTAATGGGGCCTTTCTGTAAAAAAAAAAAATGCTATTGTTTAAGTGTGAGACATTTATTCCTGGTCAATTGAATGTCCACTTCTAATTTTTCCAAACAAAAACGCTGTAAGCACACGGCACGTGGTACTGGTGAATATGCGATTCTTACCGTTTCTGCGGTGCGGGAACAATTGTTGTCCCTGCTCGGTGCACACAAGCCAAAATACTACTTTAAAATTTCAATTATCTGAATTTTAATCAAGTAAGTTGCTGCTCATCACCCAGATGTCTCCCCCCCCCCCCCCCCGTAGGCTGATAGAGGTTTTTTTTGGCTTAGATCACGTAAATATAAATGTGTTATTAAACCCGCCCACCACCCATCACAGCCAATTAGTAAGGTTTGTCACGAAACAAAACATGCCAATGTAAACAAAACATGCGAATGCTAATGTTTTGTTTACGTGACAGACCTTACTAATTGGCTGCGTCGGGTGGTGGCAGGGTTTAACGACACATTTATATTTACGCGATCTCACCTAAAAACCTCGTATGGATAATATTGGTGGCGATAGCCTCCTACTCCGTGTTCAACAGGCTGAGATGTGTTTTCTTGCCATCTCTGTGCCTTTATGAAGCTCATGGGAAAAAGCAAAAACGTAGCGATCCATCTCCCGTTCGGAGATTGCCATTGTCAAATTGGAAGAAAAAGAATTAAGACGTCCATATAATCGCATTTTAGCTCTCCCAAGAACGAGAATAGAAATAGGTGACAAAGCGTCTGCCGTTGCAGCATCAACGTTTTGGAACAACCGAGGTTCCTCGCCTTGACGTCATCGATCCTTCGTATCAGAACATATTCTGAAGCAGAGGATTAGCGCTGGATACAACTGCATTTGCAAATGTGATTTGTAACTTTCATCCTTACCCATGTACAGTACCGATAGTTAAATTTCGATGTGCAATATTATTGAGGGGCTGTGTGTTGCCTTGGTGTGGTCTGAGACTGTTTTTGTTGTTGTTTTTGCTGCCTTGACCAAGCTTTAGAATTGTATGTACGTATGTTGAGCTTTTTTTGCACCGTACGTAGCCAACCGTGCTTATTGGTGGTACGGTGTACTTATGCAACGTGAACTTTTATACTGTATCTATCTTATGTATTTCTATTTAGTGATTTGCTTACCATTACTATACTTTGCACTCCGATAATGTTTTGTATCCTTTGTTGTTGTAACTTTCTGATCCACCAGTACTGGACATCTCTGAAAAATAACTTAATAGCTCATCGGATTTCTCCAGCATAAAGATTGTTTTCTGTGAATTGCCTACTATAGGAGATGTCAATGAAAATAAACCTCCCACACTGGCACAGTGGACTGAAATTCAAATTGGAATAGCAGGAAAGTCCGTTTGTGTGAAGATCATCCAAATATGTTTTCCATTTATCCCTGAAAACAACTCTTTAAAAAAAATGATTCAGCTCGATTTGTAAGCAACGTTTTTTTACCAGTTTGCTTGTATGTATGTTGAACTTCTTTCGCACTGCACGTAGCCAACTGTGCTAATTGGAGGGAGGAATGGGTCTCTGTCACCATTCCACACAAAATTTACTGCGGATGATGAGGGTGATAGTGATTATCTACTTACCAGCGGAACATTTCTGATCATCATCATCATCTTTTCCATCATTACCATTCATGTTAATCACAATTATCACAATCATAATCACCACCAAAATCGTAATTGCGTGCTAACGGTGCCAATTTAGGCATAGTTAGACCCCCACCCCGACTCTCCAGCGTGCTCGTGCAGACCGATCGTGTCAGATGATGACGTGAAGAACGCCGAGTGGCTCCCCACCGCTCCACTCTGCACTCGCTTAAGGAGCCCTGCGTGGGCCCAAGGTGCAGGACGCAGGAGATTCTGCCACGAATGGTGAAAGCGCGATCGATTGAAAGTCTGCCCACGACTGGCGGTGGTGGGGCACTCTTCCCTAACTGCGGCCTATCCACGGCCACTGTCCATCGTTCCGCCGTGCGGGACGTGGCTTGCATGAGAAGTGCAATTTTACCAGTGCCAAAAATGGCCCGTTGTGAGTTGAGTTTGGCGGCAATGGGTGCCGTCAGTCGGCTGAAAGTTGGATGAATTTATGGTCAAAAACACTTTGTTGATTGTGCCCAAAGTGTGTTTGAGCTATTGCTACAAACGTTGGAATGCAGCCCTTTGAATACATTTTGATTACATTTTAGAAAGTTCACCCCTAATTCTGACACCAGTTTCTCAAGCAAAAGAGACATTTCTAATTAGGCTAATGTCTCGGTTATCAATTGCGGGTGATGGCATAATTGCATGTGGATGTCTGTTTCACTTTGTTGAACACTCTCTTGTAGTTAGCCATTGTGTGGTGTAATTCTGCATATTTCGCATATTATTCTTAGCCAAAAATGCCTTCAAATGTCCCTCAGCTAATGTATTTTAAACACGAAACAGTTCATTACTGATTCTATATCAACTTTTCTTTCAACTACAATCATGATCATTATCAATACAACTTGCATGTCATGGCTCACGCGGGGAATGCGGTGGAGGGGCAGCAGCATGCACGGCCGGCCTCTGCCCGTCGCTGCCCTCCCACGCGGGGCCTGGTGCGGCCGTGTGGCACCTCCAGAGGGCGGGCAGCCACGTGGGTGGGAAGGAGGCGAGATGTTCATGCTCTCGCCTGGTATGTAGGACGTGGTGGGTTCGATCCCAACCCTGATGCCTGCCGTGCATTTGGACGTTGCATGTCTCTCTCTCTCCGTGGGCGCGTTAAGTTTTTTTACGGGTCCTCCGGTTTGTCCCTTCACATTTAGAATCGACGTCACGCGTTTTGAGTATTTGGCTCACGTGATGATGACGAGCCACTTCGTCGAGCTGTCATTCGCGATAGCCAGGTTCGCTTCTTTAAAAAGAGCTACATAGCTCAGTCAGGCCTTACCTGGTAAAATGGCGCTGTTTGCTGATGTCCGCTTGATGTTTTTGGGGCTTTGCTCGGAGAATGTTAAAATAAATCTCTGACTGGAGTGTCCACAGCTGCTGGGAACTGGGGGACGATGGCTTCGGCACGTCAATCACGCGAATTGTTTGACCATACTTCAACCGTGCTGGCCGTTGTGGGTTGGTGATGGGAGCACATTTTGTGTCACCTCTCGCAGAGCATCGGCTGGGTCTCAGTCCCCCTATCCCGTGTGTACGTATGTGTGTTGAACTTCTTTCACGGTGTACGTAGCGAAACGTGCTCATCGGAGGTATACGTCTTCACACCACTTTGCCACGATATTGATGATGTTGTTTACAGGTGCATGCATGAAGAGGATCACAGAGTTTGTGTCCTATGAACTATTCAACAGATGTTTCTTTAATCGCACTCCTCCTACTTCCGTCCACTCGCGAGCATAAATGGGTATACCACAGCCAATCAACACGTCGCGAGTGGTGGGGCAAAGTGTGGGTTCTTCCACCTCTTCAACGACATCTGCCAAGCATGGAAGAGCAGGTCAAAAATCCTCTAGCGTGGCTCTCTCGAGGTCCCTGTTGTGGAGACCCCTCTGCCAGCAGTAGCGTGAGCGAGATGTTGCGGGGCTGCGCCTTGACCCTTGAGTGTTGTTCCTTGAGTAGGGGAGAGAGGTGGTGTTTGCTCTGCTTGCGTGCTCTAAGTGGGTCTCCCTCTCTTGCAGGTTGACAGGGTTTCAGATGCCAGCACCAATCAGCAGCTCCACCAACATGCTGTCTCTCCGGCTCACGAGTGACTTCGCCATCAGTGGACAAGGCTTCAAGCTAAATTACGAAGGTGAGAGTCTCCGCGTGCATCGCTGGTAGGCGACTGTCATAGATTTCTGGCAAATGAGTTTGTCAATCGAGATGATTTAAAAAGTGCACAGCCCCATTGGCTTCCTAATATCGGTAGGAAATGCGTTGCCGACGGCCGCGGCAGCGCGCGTCTGAAAGCGCGCGACGCTGTGGTCACCGCCTTTGTTCGATGGCGAGCCGAAAGCCGCTGCTGCTTGGGAGATGACCGGAGTGTGGTGCGAGGACAGCGTCAGACCTGCGGGGTTAGTGGCTGGGTAGGAGGTGAAATGCAACCACAGTGGTGACAACGAATCCACGGTGGTTGTGATCGCTTCCAATCCGCATTTGCCGTGGTGTCATGCAATCCGGCGTAGAGTAGTCTGAATCTGCATAATGCAGAGCGATGTGAATGTGTGCACTCTATTTTGGTCTAATGGATCATCTAAATGCACTACAAAGGGCACCTATTTCCTGTGCCGCGTGGGCTCTCAGGCTTAAAACGCGAGGCCCTCGCAGAGTACACGGGGTCACTTATTCTCTCTCTTTTTTTTTTTGGAACACCTTCCTATTTAATATGCGTTAATAATTCCGTTTAAAAATCTGAGGCACGTTTACGTCTGTATTTATCCAAGGCAACCCACACCGAGTCACGAGACTTTTTGTTATTTCCTAGAGGGTCCCACTGTATTGGGTTTTTATTTGAAGGTGTCTTTAGACGATTAATGAGTTGTTTATTATACACGTGGAAGGAATTCGGAGCACCCAGAGAAAACCCACGCGCGCGAGGGGATAACGCTCAATCCCCGTACAGATTAAACTAGATGGCGATCATTCCACTTGCAGTACCGCCTTCTCCCGGACGAGCCCAGCGTATGGCACCTCCTGCTCACCCACCTGGAAGGGAGTTTCATAACATCATCTGTGCGCTGATCCACTAACCCTCAAGGAGGTGCCAATAACAGGACGCGTATTCACGCGGCAGACGACTCACCGCGCTCAGGTCGATGGCTCATGACGACAAATTTGGGGCTATGCGACGTGGCACGGTGGGGCGGGGGGGCGAGGTGAGCACCTTCAAAGAGGGGGCACGGTGAAGAGGGCACCCCTGGAACTTTGGGGGTTCTGTTGCTGCCACGGTGCTTCCAACGTGCCAGACGACGCTGCACGTGGCTGCCCGTAATCCGGTGCTGTGGAGGCAGCAGCGAGGGTTGGTGAAACACCGCACACGGATGGTGTTGTGAAACTCCCTTCTTCCCGTGGGCGTCGAGGAGGCGCCATACTCTGGGCTCGCCATGAGAAGGTGGTACAGCATCCTGTTTCCATCTGTACGGGAGTAGAGTGTTTGCCGCTTTCGTGCGAGTGAGTTTTCTCCAGGAGCTGCGGTTTCCTCACACGTGTGTAATAAAGAATCATTAATTGGCTAAAAACATCTTGAAACAAAAAGCCAACAAAGCGGGACCCTCGAGAAAAAAAATAGTCCCACGACTCTATGTGGGTGTCCTGGATAAATACGAAAGTAAACGTGCCTTTATTTCTTTATGGAATATTCATGCATATTAAACAGGAAGGTGTTTCAATAAAAAAAGATAGAAAAACTTTTTTTATTTTCAGAGAATATTTGTGAAAATCAACTAGACAGACTATTTTTCTACTTAATAATTATTTGACTTGGTATGGACTTGGTGCTTACATGCCTCAGCAATTCAAAGCACTTTACATGTCATCGTGTCTCAACAATTTTAAGGGGAACCACAGTGGCAGCTGTCCCTGAGTGGCATTAGTCTGCCAACAGGGGTCATTGATCGCTGCGTGTAATCCCAACGGAGTAATGCATCAATACATTTTCAATATTGGACCATGGCAAAATGATCCTGCTCCTAATGGCAGCCGCACAGATGCCTTGTGCTTGCGCCTTTATCCATGACAGTGTCACTAACTTTTCACAGCTTCATCAAGGCCAAAGCTCCTTCCGTGTAGATTTTCTCTCAGCGATCCGAACTGATGGAAGTTTGAAAAGGGCTGTGGTCTGCTGGACGTTCCAGAGCATAATGTCTGTGTTTTCCAAACGGAATGTGGTAATACATTATCATGCTGAAGCAGCGCTGCCTTTCTCAACAGTCCAATGCACTTCAGATGGATGTCACGCTTCAGTTCGTTCGAGTCACAACACAAAGCGCCGGTGACAGTCTGTACGTTTTCACGGAAAGCAACTGTTAGTAGATCTTGCATGTTCCTAAAACTGTCATCATTTCATTTTCCAACAGAAGTCTGGGATGGCTTCCATACGAACAATTCATCCAAGTGTATTTACCCTAATGTGCGAATCTGGCTGGCAAGACATGACAGACGTGAAGCATGTAGCCTTTATTTTTATTTGTTAATATTTTAGGCGCTCGCTGGGCCACAAACATTTTTAAAATTCTACTCGTCGCGGATTGTTGAATGAAATGTCCCCCTGCACATCCCGATGAACGCCGCTGATATGCGTACCTGATCCACGCTCGCATCTCACCCAGAATTGACCTCTCAACGTGGGTGACGTTGGCCAGAGGCGAAGCCATCAACCGAGCCACGGTTTTGCTGTCGCCATCGCAAGTGTGCCCACGACCCTGTTCACTCCCATTGCACACGTTCGTAAAATGTTGCCGCCGTTCGTAGAGTTCATAGAGTTCGTAGAGTTGTCGGCTTTATTGCAGCTGCAAATTTGGATATCACTTTACGCTGTTAGCAGAGGACCAAACGTGGGAGAATATTTTCTGCTCCTACGTTTGGTGTTCAGTTGTCCAAAGGCACCACCGTTTTTGAATTTCAGGAATACTTTGCACTTCGTCTGATTAGGGACCAGAGCATGGACGAATGTCAAAAATGGACGAATGTCAAAGCAGAGCCTTTATTTAACTTGCAAATGTATTTTGGCCGGTGAAAAACGTACATGGAAATAATAACTACAGTGAATATAAAAACATACATGCAAATAACTACAGTAACTACATAACACGTGCGCTCAAAACCTAAATAAAAATAATTAAAAGAAGAATAAACATAAGAATAAATAAACAAAACTAAAGAAACAAAATGATACCTTGAAATATTGTTATTCTTGCGTAAGTAAACACTGTAGTATACTGTTACAGTGAGGGAAAAAAGTATTTGATCCCCTGCTGATTTTGTACGTTTGCCCACTGACAAAGAAATTATCAGTCTATAATTTTAATGGTAGGTTTATTTGAACAGTGAGAGACAGAATAACAACAAAAAATCCAGAAAACCGCATGTCAAAAATGTTATAAATTGATTTGCATTTTAATGAGGGAAATAAATATTTGACCCCTCTGCAAAACATGACTTAGTACTTGGTGGCAAAACCCTTGTTGGCAATCACAGAGGTCAGACGTTTCTTGTAGTTGGCCATCAGGTTTGCACACATCTCAGGAGGGATTTTATCCCACTCCTCTTTGCAGATCTTCTCCAAGTCATTAAGGTTTCGAGGCTGACGTTTGGCAACTCGAACCTTCAGCTCCCTCCACAGATTTTCTATGGGATTAAGGTCTGGAGACTGGCTAGGCCACCCCAGGACCTTAATGTTCTTCTTCTTGAGCCACTCCTTTGTTGCCTTCACCGTGTGTTTTGGGTCATTGTCATGCTGGAATACCCATCCACGACCCATTTTCAATGCCTTGGCTGAGAGAAGGAGGTTCTCACCCAAGATTTGACGGTACATAGCCCCATCCATCATCCATTTGATGCGGTGAAGTTGTCCTGTCCCCTTAGCAGAAAAACACCCCCAAAGCATAATGTTTCCACCTCCATGTTTGACGGTGGGGATGGTGTTCTTGGGGTCATAGGCAGCATTCCTCCTCCTCCAAACACGGCGAGTTGAGTTTATGCCAAAGAGCTCCATTTTGGTCTCAATACTTTCACCCAGTTGTCCTCTGAATCATTCAGATGTTCATGGGCAAACTTCAGACGGGCATGTATATGTGCTTTCTTGAGCAGGGGGACCTTGCGGGTGCTGCAGGATTTTAGTCCTTCATGGCGTGGTGTGTTACCAATTGTTTTCTTGGTGACTATGGTCCCAGCTGCCTTGAGATCATTGACAAGATCCTCCCGTGTAGTTCTGGGCTGATTCCTCACCGTTCTCATGATCATTGCAACTCCACAAGGTTAGATCTTGCATGGAGCCCCAGGCCGAGGGAGATTAACAGTTATTTTGTGTTTCTTCTATTTGCTAATAATCGCACCAACTGTTGTCGCCTTCTCACCAAGCTGCTTGGCAATGGTCTTGTAGCCCCTTCCAGCCTTGTGTAGGTCTACAATCTTGTACCTGACATCCTTGGAGAGCTCTTTGGTCTTGGCCATGGTGGAGAGTTTGGAATCTGATTGATTGATTGCGTCTGTGGACAGGTGTCTTTTATACAGGTAACAAGCTGAGATTAGGGGCACTCCCTTTAAGAGTGTGCTCCTAATCTCAGCTCAGTACCTGTATAAAAGACACGTGAGCCAGAAATCTTTCTGATTGAGAGGGGGTCAAATACTTATTTCCCTCATTAAAATGCAAATCAATCTATAACATTTTTGACATGCGTTTTTCTGGATTTTGTTATTGTTATTCTCTCTCACTGTTCAAATAAACCTACCATTAAAATTATAGACTGATCATATCTTTGTCAGTGGGCAAACGTACAAAATCAGCAGGGGATCAAATACTATTTTCCCTCACTGTATTACAAATACAACTATGAATTGTTTGGAGTACAATCACATAAATACGTACAGTATTAATAATCTATGAATAAACACATATAAGAGATGCTCACTGAACGACTTCTATTCAAAGACTGAACGAAATAGATGGCGCTAGGCGGGAACGTCGTGCAAGGTTTGGGGATTAAATCGGCCGAAAGAGGAAAACGCGTGGACAAAATTTGAAATGTGGTTATAATTGAAAACGGCCGAAAGAGCGAAGCGATGAAAGTCAAGTGGACGAAAGTCAAGTTATCG